ATCGGTTTTATTTTATCAGTTTAGTATATTAAAATCAGTTTATCAGTTTTATCATGTGATAAAACCTCATACATAATACTGATAAAATGTTTTCTCGGCATCTATAACCCAGACTCATCGATTGTCATGCTCGCATTTTGTGTTCGTTATCTATTGACCCGTCTAAGTCTAGTAACAACGTCCAAGCAAAACTATTGGACAATGTCCAATGTCTCATCCTATGGCAAGTAATGTATATGAACAAATATCCAATAAAATCATTGAACATGAACACATGTAATGGACAATGTTTAATATTCAAAATCTTTTTGGTAAAATTTTTACTATGAAAAATTTTTATAACTCTTTACATTTCCCAACAATCCACATCACAAAAAGCCTATTCACTAAGACTCGCCACCAAAATCAGGCACGTAAATCCGAAGCTTAAATTTATTTGCCGACATTAAAATTAAAGAAATAAACAATTTACGTTGGAATTTTTTCTTTTAATATTGTAATATTTTTCAAAATAGAAAATATGAATCAACTTTGTTCGACTTGTCGAATTATAAAACCCAATATTTTTCGTAAGAAAACTTTTACCAACTCTCAAAAGGAAAGCTGAACAACTTTGCGTAGCTATGACAATTCCTTAGCCTGCATTTCAATATAATAAAATTTGTATTGAATGTTCAACTCGCATAAATGAAAGCAAAAAAAGAAAGCATGAGGATCAAATTTTAAACGATATTTGCATGCAAAAAGAAAATGCTATAAAATCCGAAGAACTTGAATATATAAGAAACTTAGATATTGAAGGAGAAAGTAATATATATATGGATCTTGATATTCGGTCGAACAATTTTTGCCAGATTTTCCAGAATTTATGAAACCAGCTGTAAAACCAATTTAAACCGAGTTTACAGCTGTTCTCATAAATTCTGGGACAACTGATAAAAATTTGGCCGAAATTAATTCGGTCGAATTTGATAAACTTTTGATCTTTTGGATAGTGTTTGCAAAATATGGGCATTGACAATATATACCAATGGACATGGACTATGTCTATATTGTCCATATTTTTTCATTGGACATAGGGCACTCGATAAACATAATATTTATTACAGTCAAAAAGTATTATTATTACAATTTTTCTAAGTATTCCATTGCCTTTTAAAACTATTATAATCCTCCTCCAATTTATGTATTAGCTTTTATTATCGATCTGTTTGGTACTATTTGGATTAATCATGTTTTCTATAATAATTTTTTTGTTGCGTTCTGAATTCAGAATATAAAACTTTTTGCTTAAATAAATAATCAGAGTTATAATCTTCCGGAAGAGTATTCAAAATAACATCTACATATAAGATTTTCTGGTGTAATTGCATTTGCCTGATTAGTTTTTATAAATTTATTTCTTTTTTCATTTATCATTAGTGAAAATTTGGTTACGGCGAACAGTGTGTATTTTTAGAATATTGTGTTATTGGATTTTGTGTTTTTTAAAAGATTGCAACGATCGTTTTACATTTTGAAGAATCGAAAAAATTACTAAATCAATTAATACTTAACGTTAATTTTCGAAACTTTTTTGGGTGGCGATTTTACCCCGGTCGTATACAATATTGGGAAAAAATTGTCGAATTACCAGCTCGCTGAGTTTTTCTTTTTTGAATACTGGAATAAACATAATTACATAGTAACACATGAAAAAAATAACAAAGAAATTTTTTCATGATCATGAGTTTGCCGGATAACACATAATACTGGCAAACTTTGCGTAATTCTGGCCAATCGCAGAATCATTTTTAATCTATGTAATTAGATAAAAAAAAAAAATCTACATTTGAATTTTTTTTTTCCCTAAATACTATGTTGATTGCACTTAAGTTTGTGAGACTTACTCGGAGAAGGGTGCTATTATTTTCATATTATTCACAGAATTTTCAGTGGACTCGTGGTTATTCAAGCAACAATGATGTCAGTTATACGAATAAATCTTCAAAACTGAGTGAGCTTTCTGACAAAATAGTTAATAAATTTATTCAGCCGCAGATGGACTTGTTACAGAGAACAATGATGAGTTTAGTGGAAAGAAGGGATAAAGAATTTCTGAGCTTAGTGGAAGAGTATAAGAAAGAACTTTTGAGTTTAACGGAAAGCAATAAGAAAGAACTTTTGAGTTTAATAGAAAGCAATAAGAAAGAAATATTGAGTTTAATGGAAAGCAATAAGAAAAAACTTTTGAGTTTAACAAAAAGCAAGAATAATAAATTTTATGAGATTAAAAAATTAGCAGAAGACAGAGCAATAAGTCTATTGTATATGAGGGATATGTGTAACATAAAGGGTGCCTTGGAATTAATTCGCACGCAGGTAATTATTTCTAATTGTATTTTTTAATTTTACCATCCAAATTTTGAATATTGAGAAGGACTTTACACGACAGATTTTGTCAAAAGATGAGTCGATCATCTTTCAAGAACCCGTAGATAAGGGCTCTGATACACTTATTTCAAGATGAAGATTTCATCAAAATTTTAAAGAAAGCGTGTGAAGATAATGATCTTTGGTACGATGATATTCAGAATTGTATTAGGGGCCTCTACTATTCTGCGTCAAAGCAATTCTATAGACGTGAATATCAGGTTGTGATTGATTCGCAATCTTGGTCGTCTAATGAGGTATTTGTGCTAGGCATTATTTTTCACCATTTCAAAATTCAATTTGATTATTGTAATAGAGATGGTAAGCTAGATTATTACCCCTATAAATTGTAAAAGAATGGTATTGCAATAATAGACATATCACGTGGCATTTTTTATGTGCTATTGATTTTAATAAAGCATATTCATTTAGACTTTCATGGTTTTTATTCCTCAC